GTTGCGGAGCACAGGCTCCGGACGTGCAGGCTCAGCGGCCATGGCTCACGGGCCTAGCTGCTCCGCGGCATGTGGGATCTTCCCGGACTGGGGACCATCGGCAGGTGGACTCTCAACCACTGCACCACCAGGGAAGCCCATTCCACATCTTCTTTTTCCATTCATCTGTCAGTGGACATTTAGGTTGCTTCCATGTCTTGGCTACTGAAATAATGCTGCAGTGAACATGGAGGTGCATGTATCTTTTCAAATTAGTTTTCATCTTTTACAGATATATGCCCAGGAGTGGGATTGCTAGATCACATGGCAACTCTATTTTTAGTTTTTAAGGACCAGCCATATGGTTCTGCATAGTGGCTGCACCAATTTACATTCCCACCAATAGTGTAGGAGGGTTCCCTTTTCTCCACATCCTCTCTAGCATTATTCGTAGACTTTTTAATGATGGCAATTCTGACTGGTGTGAGGTGATACCTCATTGTAGTTTTGATTTGTATTTCTCTAATAATTAGCGATGTGGAGCATCATTTCATGTGCCTGTTAGACATCTGTATGTCTTCTTTGGAGAAATGTCTTTTTATGTCTTCTGCCCATTTTTTGATTGGTTTGTTTTTTGATATTGAGCTGAATGAGCTGTTTATATATTTTGGAAATTAAGTCCTTGTCAGTCGCATTGTTTGCAATTACTTTCTCCCATTCCGTAGGTGGTCTTTTTGTTTTGTTTATGGTTTCCTTTCTTGTGCAAAAGCTTATAAGTTTGATTAGGTCCCATTTGTTTATTTTTGATTTCGTTTCTATTACTCTAGAAGACGTATCCAAAAAAATACTGCTGTGATTTACTGACACTGTCTTGCTAAAAGGGGGTTTAAGATTAGTACAACTAGCATTAACTCATAGCGCTATACAGAATAAGAAATGCAAAGTGCCTGGCACACAGCAAGCACTTAGTAGCTATTATCACGGTTACGCCACCTTCTCTCACTTCTAGTGTGGCAACTCCTCGAGGAGCTGTGTCTTCCTTATGCTTAGCACAGGGCCTGACATAGGATAGTTCTCAAATACAGATTTGTTGACAGATAAATCCACCTATCCGTCGGCCATCCAGTCAACATTTATTGAACAACTGCTAATTGCCAGGCACTGTTCTGAAGATGGATCAGTGAACAAAACAGCAAAGGTCTGGCCTCCCAGTGCTTATGTTCTAGTAGGGAAAACAGACAAGCACATATATAGTTCGACAGGGAGAAAAAAGAGCCAGGTTAAGGGGTTTAGGAAGAGCCAGGGATGGGTGAAGTTGCTCTTTCACATATCACGGAAGGTCTCTCTGAGAAGGTGACGTGTGGGTAGACACTTAAAGGAAGTGAGGGAGCAAACCATACAAATGTGCAGAATGTGTGTTCCAGGCCGAGGGAACGGCAGGTGCAAAGGACGTGAGGCAGGCACAAGTGTGGTGTTTCTGAAGAATGAGAAGCCTGTGTGGCTGGAGCAGGATAAATTAAAGAAAGGGCTTTGATATCTTCTTCACTTGATTAAAAATGAGCACACAACACAGTCCAGTAATTGAAAAAGATGTATTAAAATATTCACAAAAATACAACAACTGAAAAAGAAAAATTAATGAACTTGATGTTTTTGTTTTTTTTTTTACCTAGCTGAATACATTTCCATTGAAAACCTACAGATAGATTGAAATTTTAATCTCAAGTAATCCTTTAGGTGCCCCCTTAGAAAAATCATGTGTAGTTTTAAGAGGTCTCATTCTGCCAATAATCAGACATGGAAAGGACAGCCCTGCCATTTGGAAGCAACCCTGCTGTTGTCATCTGTGTCCAGGGACGAGGATGCTGGGACACAGGAGAAAGGGTCAAAAGATCCACAGGAGTTGGTGTGAGGAGTTTTGGAAAAAGCCCCAACACTGAGGTGCTCCACCCAGGTGTGAGCGGCTTCTCTCAGACAAATCAGTCACAGACCCAGAGTAAGAAGCTGGCAGCTGACCACCCTTGCCCCGCAGAGGAGGCCACGGGGAGGCAGGGGAGGGAAGGCCCACGGCTGTGGTTAGCGAAAGTGAGGGTTGGTGCTCTGGGTGGCAGCTTCACAAACATGCAGAGAAATCAGGGCTCTTGCTATCAGGAGGTGTGAGGAAGTACGTATAGTAGATTCACTGGACCTCTGTGAAAGGATAAGGAGGATCCCCCTTTCTCTGCCAAAAACGACTGTAAGGAAGTTACACATATCAGTGCACACACTTGGTCTCACCACAACGTGTCTTCTTTCCCCCTGAAGTCCCGGATGGCTGTACAATTCTCACAGTGGGAGGGCTCACCAAGAGTATCGTCATCCTGGCATCAGCCTGAAGGGTGACATCCCAACACCAACCCCCGCCTTCCCAACACACAAAAATGTCTCCTAAAGGTTCCTGGAGTTTTCACCGTGGAGGCAGAGAAGCCCCAGGGCGCAAGGCAAAGTTGACCACTTTGCAGAACTGTCTCGGGTAGAGCGCTCCGCGTCCCTGTGTCCTGCGCGGGACCTGTGAGCACAGAACAGGCAGACGCACCAGAGCCGGCAGGTTTTCTTCCCACGCCGCAACACACGCCAGACACACCAGCTTCGGAGACGGCCGGTATGTGTGATGACAGCCCGCTCCCCGCTCACGTACATATCAACGGAATGTAAGTTGGAGCATCATGTGAATAACAACAAATAGTCCCTCAGCAAATAAAAGACCACACGTATGGGGCAGAGTTCGTTTTGTAGCTCACACACCCTTTCTCTATGTAACCACTTCGTGCACACCTTTAAATCTAAATCCTTCTTTGTTTCCTTAAAACTCAGCCTTCAAACTCCCTCACAAAGATGACAAGATGGGGCGGGGTGGGGGGAGATGGCAGCTCTTAGAGGTCCTCAAAGTAAATGAGAGAAAAACTAACATTACCTGTCATCCCTACTTACCTGAACACATCCTGGGACCCTATTGTCAGTATTCTTCCTCTAACTGTGGGCTTTCAATTTTAAATGAAGAACATTATTAAAAAAAAAATCCAGAAAATGGGGGAATGACAATATAAGTGTTTAATGATTTTCACCATGCTTTTCAGTCTGAGTTAAAAAAAACACATAGGTTTGAGATGGGGTGTTGGGGGTGGTGGTCAATGGGAGAAAATAAATCGAGAAGGATGCCCAAATGGTCTAGATTTCTCCTCATCTCATTGTTTATCAAAAGAACAAAGAAACAGAAACAGAAGAGATTCCCAATGTAGAAGTACTAACCTTGTTTGCTGATTTTAAAAATCTAGACCCTTTTTAGCCTCAAAGGCCTTGGAGGCATCATGAATCTATTATAGAAGCCATGACTGATGCTGCCCCTGCTGGAAGCATGACTGAAGCTTTATATAGAAGATTCTCTAGAAAGCACTCTGTGATACTGGAGACTGGCAATCTAATCATTCCATTTCTGCCTACTTAAAAGGAAATGAAACTCAGCTCCTTCAGGTGTATGGGGACTCTTATTACAAGTACGAAGGACTTCAGCAAAGAATGTAACACACCTTTTGCTCTCCCAATGGTACAGTACTCCTCAAGCCAGGCCTGGGTTCTCTACTTCAATTATATATTGATTATGGTATTGATCTAAAAGTACCTGGAAGGAAGTGACTTCCGGCACTGATCCTTTGCTAATCTTGCTATGATGAATCCACAAATTGAGACAATATGCTTACAGGGTGTGATGTTATAGTCTACACAACACTGAAAGCTAAAAACTGCCCTGTATAATAGCAACAAAATCTCTCACACTGTCTCCAAGTGGCATAGCAAATGGATGCTTTCTAAAAACAACCGCCAAATAGGTGGTACACCCTGGGCTAAAGGCCGCCCTGAACATGCTTCCGTCATAGCATCTCCACTCTCCAAGTACAATAAACGCGAAGGCGGGTTAAGCCCTTACATGAAAAGGCCATGTCTATTAGAATACTAAAAGATCTGCTACCATCTCCATTAAGGCAAACCACGTCTAAATGATGGTGATAGGAATGTGTCTGAACTTTCTCAACCGTCAATGACCCTGAAGGGAAGTACAAAGACAGACAATTTACGTATACGTAGAACCATACCATCTCTTCATCATGCAGTACTGGCTCCTCGCATCAGGAAGATTAAATAGAATATTTATACATATTCTTTATACACTTCTTTTTCTCCCTCTATGAATAAACGTGTGCTTGTCCGTGTCCGGGTTTCCAAGGCCGCACGTGGTTGTGAGCTACGTTTTCCGCACAGGGGCCCGGTGTGGATGGGTTTCTTGCTCAGGATGCGACTGGGGTCCTCTCAATTTCTCCGGATGTCTGCGTATACCACAGACTCTGACTTGTTGATCTTGTCGCTGTGATGTCCGCCAGAGTGGTCTAGCTGCGCATATATGACTGGGCCCTAGAGAAGAGAAGTAGAATTAGAGGTTTGGAAAAACTGGTGGCCCCATTAGGTGCAGGGACAGAAGCAATGACTAAAGGGTTCCAGAGCAAAGAGTTCCCTCTTTTGAATGTCTTCAGGTACATATGTTCCTTCTTAGGAACCGTATGTCCAGGACTGACTTTATTTTTTTCCTGGGATTGACTTTAAAACAAGATTGGGGGGGGCTTCCCTGGTGGCGTAGTGGTTGAGAGTCCGTCTGCCGATGCAGGGGACACGGGTTCATGCCCCGGGTCCAGGAAGATCCCACATGCCGCAGAGCGGCTGGGCCCGTGAGCCGTGGCCGCTGAGCCTGTGCGTCCGGAGGCTGTGCTCCGCAATGGGAGAGGCCACAACAGTGAGAGGCCCGCGTACCGCAAAAAAAAAACAAAACAAGATTGGGTATACTTGGTAATTGTTCAAGCTGGTACATAGAGATTTATTATATTATTCTGTCTACTTCTGTATCTGTTTTAAAATTTCTGTAACAATGTAATATTCCTTGCCAGGAGTTACCCTTATCTTAATACCTGTCACAGAATTCCTCAACTCTTGTAATTGGGAGTCTCAAGACAAAGATGGGCACTTCTGTCAACCCGAGACCCACTGAAATCATGACTTTCAGAATGATACAAGAAACCAACATATTCAGTGCTACTCGAAAATACAATCAATTCGAACTGGTCACTTTATACAAACAGGTACTTAAAAAAAACTTCAAATATTCTTCCACGTACCTACCTATATAATTCTGTTGGTCTAATCTTATCATAACCAATAAAAATATTGCTTCTTTGATATCTAAGATCAGGTAACCATTTTTCCTGTTTTAAAGTTTAAAATAACCCCCAAAGCCACAATCTGCGGAGCTATACGGAAAAGCCCTAAATGGACTAAAGTAGAAGAGGTCCTCTTCTCACCCTTGGCAGTAAGGAAGAGAGCTGTCAGGGTCCCACCCGGGACAGCAAGGCAAAGTTGCCTGGGCCAGAGCGAGTCCTCCGACTCTTGGGGAAGGAGGGAAGGCCGAAGGTTCAAATATCAGACAGGTGGCTGTGCTTCACAGCCCTTAAAGTCCCTTCCAACCCAGAGATTCTAAAATTGTAAACAGCAACAACAAAATAGGCCTGTTTTACGGGTAAAGAAAAGTTAATATAACCCAAAGTCGACTTCTCTCCCAATCCAGGGATTCTCTCTTTGAATAGTCTACTACTGTGCTCAAGCTTTCAACTTTGAAATCATAAGCTCAGTAGCCAAAAGTATGTGGTTTAAAAATAAACATCCTTGCAACTGTTCTGTATGAATCTGTAATGGTGGATACACGACATATGCATTTGGTGAAACCCACAGAAATGTACAACACAAAGAGTGAACCTTAACATAAACCACGGACTTTAGTTAATAACAATGTTTTCTGTATTAATTCATCAACTGTAACAAATGTACCACAACAATGCAAGTTGTTAATAATCAGGGAAACTTTGGAGAGGAAGGAGTACATAGGACCTCTCTTTACTTTCTGTTAGATTTTTCTATAAACCTAACACTGCTCTAAGAAATAAAGTCTAATAAAAAGAAGAAAAAAATGGAAATAAACAAACATCCTCACTCCCATCTAGGAGTCCCACAACCTGCATCCTTTAGTGTGTAACGTGGGATCCTGTGGAGTTCAGGCCCCCCAACTTCTACAGAAGGCGTATTTTATAACCCCCAAGCATTAGTTTCTTTACCTCTGAAATGGCACTAACAATAGTATTATACATCCTAAGATGGTTGTGAGAATTAAATGAGATGATATCTACAAATAACTTAAGCGGCGTCTGGCAGCACTCAGTACATATTATTCTCATGAACATACTGTTATACAAATATACTTGAAAATATATCGAGGTTACCAGTCAAGTAAATCAAGCAGTCAAAGTCAGTGTGTTTGTCTTTAGTCAGTGTGTGACACTCTCATGCCTGTCACGGGTAACACAACAGATCACGCTGTTAATACTGAATCAAACTGAAACCCTCTATATTCATCTCAAAAAGCGGCAAGTTAAATGTGATTCTACAAAATAAAAAGTTAAAGTTAACTATTTTCTACTTCCAGGAAAACAATGAAAAAAGTGTTTTCTAGTAACTTAATGGATCCTTGGTAACAGCCATTTCCAACAGAACAGATCCTGAAATTAAATTACATAACTTCCTAGACAGTAAGACCTCATCCATTAGAAGGCTTAGGGTGTATTCATGGGGGAAGGAGTTTACACCGTGTGATAGATGGTTACAAATTCTTTCCCTTGTTGCATCTACACCCTTACAATATAATGCTGCAGCTCCTCCCACCAAGAGTCAGAACCTGCTTCTTAACCCCTTGAATCTGGGCTGGTCTTATCACTTGCTTTGACCCACAGAATGTGGCAGAAGTAACATGTGTAAATTCCATACCTAGACCTCAACAGGCCTTGCAGCTTCCACTGTCTCCTTGATCTTGGAACCCACAGAGCCACCACCACCATGTGAAGAAGCCCAAGCTACTGCTGGCTGATGGGAGACACACAGCCCAGTTGTCCTGTGTCTCTCTGGCCCGCCAACCGCCTGCCAATTGTCAGCCTATGAGTGAGACCCCTGCCGGCTGTCCAGCCAACTGCAGATGCACGAGCGAGCCAGCAGAGGTCAGCTGAACTGCCCTAGACCAGAAGACCTGCCCAACCAACCCACAGAAGTGCGAGCCAAATAACTGGTGGTGGTTCTAAGCCACTATCTTTTAAGGTGGTTTGTTACATAGCAATAGACAACTGATAAACTGTGCGAGTGGCAAAGAAAGAGCACAGAGAAAGCAACAAAGAAAAATAACAGAATAATCTCGGAATTGGTCAGTAAATGTTAAAACACCAGTAAGGTCTTGTACGTGAGACAGCATTGTCCTTCATGGCAAAAGAACGCAACGATTTGCTGAAAGTAACTGGGAAAACACTGAGGGATAAAAGGAACTCCTTCCTACTGATGGATTTAGTTTCTTCAAATTGCTTCCCACTATCTAATGTCCTCACTCCCCTTCCCTCTTAGAATGTAATAAGGCCCTCAGGTCAGGGGCTTTGTTAAATGCCTAGAACAGTCTTTGGCAGACTGCAGGTGTTGGATGAAGGGGTGGATGAAGGGATGGATCTAAAGGAGTTCTCACCAGAATTGGAGCTCAGGAATCTCTGATGAATCTAGCTCAATCTAACACAGCTCTCTGAAGTTGGGTTCCGAGGTTGACTTGGCAGCTGTAGGTACCCTGGGTCTCTGTGGGACATGCCTCAGGACTTTGACACTTTGAGGGCCAAGAAGACCACTGAGGACTTCAGGAGGGGTCAGTGAACCAAGATCAACTTGGAAATGTACCTGCCATCGCTAAGATATTCACTTTGGGGTGTTCAAGAGTTAAAACAATATCAACAGTAACACCTATATTAACCGAGCTGGGTTTTTTTTTGGTTTTTTTTTTTTTTTTTGCGTTGAGTCTGTTGCTGTACGCAGGCTTTCTCTAGTTGCGGTGAGCGGGGGTTACTCTTCATTGCGGTGCGTGGGCTTCTCGTTGCTGTGGCTTCTCTTGTTGCTGAGCAAGGGCTCTAGGTGCATGGGCTTCAGCAGTTGTGGCTCACAGGCCCTAGAGCACAGGCTCAGTAGTTGTGGCGCACGGGCTTAGTTGCTCCACGGAATGTGGGATCTTCCCAGACCAGGGCTCGAACCCGTGTCCCCAGCATTGGCAGGCGGATTCTTAACCACTGCGCCACCAGGGAAGTCCCTTAACGGAGCTGTTTTTACTGTACATCTTGACACTCACCTTTCCCTCATCCTCCATTTTTTTCTTTTTTTGGCGTTGCCACAAAGTATTACCATAACCAAGTGAAAAATTGCTCTGTACATATATATTTTCCCCAACTACTTATTATACAAATAGTCTTTACTATTGAAAATGTTTCAAGAGACTAATTGCTTGACACTAGGTCTATTCTTTTAGTTTCAGTTAGAGATGAAATTACCCCTGAACTCTACTTGCATGAAATTTATTCCAATATAAAAACATACTGGTGAAGGTGTGGGAAGAGGGTCCAGGAAAAGAGGGTTATGGAAGAGCAAGGAGACCTATCTCTGAACAGATATTAATTTCTCAGAAGCTATTATGTCCTGAAGTACACTTTCCATGGTCTCTGTAGCCCTTTAGAATCTGAATCTGGTCCTTCAGGCATTAGGGGACTCACACCTGACAAGCTAGCACAAGTATCACTAAGAGAGAACATCTGTTTTTACCACATGCTCACTGACTGTTCACAAAACACATTTTCAGTATTTATTTCACATCACCAAATATAGACGTGAAACAGATGTGTCTTGTGACATTCTTTGAGATAAATGAAACTGATTATCAAAACGAAGTTGAAAAGAACTGGACAGGTGGGATAGACCAAATACATACCTTAGAGCCACACACAGATCGGGGTCTAATACCAGCTCTGCCACTAACTACTGACCTCGAGCAAGTGACTCAACCTAACTAAGCCTCAGTTTCTTCACGTGTAAAATAGGGACAGTAAAAGAACCTGCCTCATAGGGCTGTTGTGAGGACTAAATGAACGAATGCACATGCTGTACTTCTGAAGACATCACATATCTATAGACTATAGTTGACAAATAACTGTTCCCTCACTGTCCTCCATAAATACTTGCCCCCCCCCTTTTTTTCTGACTGTACCACACGGCATGCGAGATCTTAGTTCCCCAACCAGGGATCAAACCCATACCCCCTGCACTGGAGGCATGGAGTCCTAAGCACTGGACCGCCAGGGAATTCCCACTTGTCTTTTGTATACAAAGCATTAACCATTTCCAGAAAAGGATCTAGAAAACCAACTGTTCGTAAGATATATTCACAAAAATTATTTGAAACCAATGTCATTCAAAGCTAAGCGTTACAAAGAAAGATTTGTACTTATCTTTTCCCTAATGCCAGA